ACTTGCCAGGAGCAGACTTGCAGAATGTACCCTTTGGAGATGTAATTTATTATGTATGCCTGAGTGGGTTTTTTTGTTTGTGTGTTTTTTAAAAAAAAGCTAAAGTGGATAGAGAGAAATACTTTTAACTGATGGTATATGGAGGGGATTATAATCAATGTAATGAAACAAGTTAATGAATTGTTTAATGTGAAACTGATGATGTGCCCTGTAAACTTTCACTCAATCCACAACAAAAACCTTAAATAAATAAATAAGTAATTTTGAGTTTTGTTCTGTAGTTTCTCCCACTGTACCTGGGACCTTCTAATGTGATCCCTTCCAGAGTCACTGATAGTGTTAAGGGCTGTAAATCTTTACTGGAACAGAAAGCCTCCTTTTTCTCTTGTGGATCTATCTGGTCGTGGGTTTGAACCATCTACCTTGTGATTTGCAATCCAGTGCTCATCCTACAGTGCCACCACTGCTCCACTTTCTAATATACTGTGTGAATGTCTCATGAAAAAAGTACAATGTCATTGACTTATATACTGCTGCCCTGAGCCATCCTCACAACTGTTTTGTTTGAGGCCCCTGTTGCACATTGTGTCGATCGAGGCATGCATGCATATCTATACAAGCTTATGAATATCACCAGCCTAACTGTGCAGAGCCCATGTCTCCGAAGCTCCCAGGGTACACTGCTCCTCCCTCTCCTCTGGTTCCTGCCCTGCTTACAGTGCATTTCTTCAGAGACGAAGTATCTCAGGAGGTAACATTTCCAGGTCTATCAAACTCTGTTTTCTGCCATGGGATATGCTGGAGATTGCCTGCAAATTACTGCAGAGGGCAGTTCAGGGCAGTCCTCTGGCTCTAGCTGGCTCAGAAACACTTTCTGCATAGGTTACACAAGGTCTCCTATGACCTGGAGTTAAGTTTGGAAGGAGAAGGGCAAAATCTCTTTAAATTTCTGGTTGCTGTCTGGTTCTAGATCAGAGGGTGAGGTGTTTTGAATGTATTGTATTTTTCTTAATTCACCCTCAATTCAGGTGGTAGAAATTATACCCTAGCTGTGTTGACTGTGGTATACTACAGTCAGTTTTTATATTTTATATTACTGGGTATTTTAACGAGAGTGTGGGAGGAGATTCCTCAGGTACAACTAGCTTACTGCCATCCTAATTAAAAGTCTGTTTTTTCTTTAAAAGGAAAACAAAACAAAACAAAGCTTACCTGCTCTGGGCTCATATAGAGTTTGGTCCCGACTTGTCCTGTGTGTCTGGCATAAGCTGGCATCGGGGTCAGAACCATCTGCTCTTCCTCATCCTGGTCCATTGCAGTCACCAGCCCAAAGTCTCCAACCTTTACCACGTCATCCATCGTAAAGAATATGTTGGACGGCTGGAAAAACAAAGCAGAAAAATGTGTAATGGGTCTGTGCTGAGACAGAAAGTATAGAGAATGAATTTAATTACTTTTAAATGACTAAATAAAACAAAACAAAAAACTAGATATTCTGAAGCATGTTTGTTTTTAAAATGGGCTAATAAAAAATAAAAACTCTTTGATGCCAGCTAAGTCCTGTACACAAAGAAAAGGGAAGGATGGTAAAAGATACTAGCATTTGTTGTTGTTGTTGTTGTTAAGTGCTGTTGAGTGAGTCAATTCTGACCCATAGTGACCCTGTATAGGATTTCGAGGAGCAGCTTTTGAGCTCGAACCGCCGACCTTGCAATTCAAACAGCTTTGCAGTCTGGCGCATTAACTCACAGCACCACACCAGGATTTACTGAACATCTATTTAAGAGAGACCCATATTACAGGGTATCTACTTTCCTTGGATACACTTCTCTACATATATGAATTAAGCCATAATGATTATAATGATAATAGTAGTACTAATAGCAAATGCATATAGAATCTGCATTGTGTCAGACACTAAGCAGTTTATTATTATTAATTCCTTCACTACTCACTGGTGTGGTGCTGTGGGATACTCACTGGACTGCAAGGCTAGTCTAAACTGCAAGGTTGGTTTGAACTGCTGACAGTTCAAACTCACCAGCCGCTCCTCAGCAATCCTAACCAGGGTTGCAATGAGTTGTAAACAACTTGATGGCACCTAAGAACACTTCTAAAAGTCCTGATGTGGCACTGTATGATAAGCACTGGACTGCTAACCACAAGGCTGGTGGCTCAAACCCACCAACCACTCCTCAGAAACCCTATACAGGGTTCCTATGGGTTGGAACTGACGTGATGGCACTTAACAATAATAACAACTCTAAAATACTCAAATATTTCAGATGTAGGAACTGAGGTCTGGAGAAATTTGGTAAATGGCCCAAGGTTACCTATCCAAAAAACGGTGGAGTAGAAATTCAAATCATTGAAAAACCCAGCAGGCTGGCTCCATGAGAAAAGGACTCGGCCTTATGATATTCTGCCCCCTGGCCAGCACTCAGCACAGTTCCTGCCTGGTGGTAGTGAGTCACTAATATCTGATGAACAAATTAAGTAGACAGACTCTCTGATGTGTGTCTGAGAGGACACTGTAGATTATTAAGGGAAATAAGAGCTCTTAAATATTCCCTATGCTCCCAAGTCTACACCAATCCCCAGACCTCTGGGCTGAGTTCCAAATGCTCATACGCAGCTGTTTATAACATATGTTGTTGTTGTTGTGAAGTGCCGTCGAGTCAGTTCCAACCCATAGTGACCCTGTATAGGGTTTCTGAAGAGCAGATGGCGAGCTTGAACCACCGACCTTGCAGTTCAAATGACTGTGCAGTTGGCGCATTAACCCACAGTGCCACACCAGGACTCTTTATAACATATGAGCAGCCTTCAAAAAGTCTGTGGAAAAATTGCATTACCTTTTAATTCCATGTTTCCACAAACTTTTTAAAGTCCCCTTCTATATCTAATCTTAAACTCAAAGTGTCAAGTATGAAATAAATGATCTTTTCTTCTTCTCTGAGATAACATAACCATTATTCATAGCCCTTGAAATAAGGAAACAACAGGCCTGTGAAACTGAATACCATCTGGGTTCAAATACTGCCAGACAAAAGTAACATTTTACTCCTGAATTCTAAAATACCATCATACAATTTTTACTTTGAATCTATGAAGTTATTGTATATAAGTAAAATCTATGGTAAGTACCTGCTGCTCCCCATGAATAACCTATGTACCAGAGCTAATAATAGAATGCAGTGCCTTGAATCTCTTAAGGTGTTCAGTAAATAACAACTGACCTCAGAAAATGGGCAAGGGTTTCCTCCTATCCCTATAGCATCATGAGAATGATGAAAGAGAAATACCAGGTTCTAAGGTACCTGGATGGTACAAATAGTTTGTGATCACTCACTAACCTAAACGTTGGCAGTTCAAACTGACTCGGTCTGCTTCTATAAAGATTAGAGCTAAGAAGCACTATGGAACATTTATACTCTGTCACATGGGGTAGCCATGAGTTGGAATTGACAGCATACACCATTTCCATTCTCTAACTACAACCACAGAGATGGTTGGTGAGAACCTAGGAACACATCAAAATACAGTCATCCACAAAATACAAATATGACAACACCATAATGTTCCATAGACAACAAACAAATCTACCTCTCACAAAGAAACAAGAGAAAATGGCTCAAACAAATGACCAAGATGCAGAGCCAGAAAATGTTTCTGAGGAAGAAAAAGTAATGGAACTACCTGAAAAAGAGTTCAAAAGAATGATATTTAGGTACCTTCAAAAGACTGACAAAAAGATTCAGGAAGGCAAGGAGAACACAGAAACAACTGTAGAAGAATCCAGGAAAACACTACAAGAACAAACAGGAAAAAAATGCTAATTTTGAAATAATACAAAACCTGCAATTAGAAATCCAGACAATTAATACTAAAATGTCAGAAATTGGCAATACTTTGAAAGGGCAAAGGAGTAGATTCAAAACAATGGAAGCTCAAATTAGTGCGCTTGAAGATAGTATGCTGGAAGAACAAGTAGAAAAAAGAATGAAAAAAATCCAAAGAAGGCCTAAGAGTTATGTGGGACACCATAAGGCAGAACAATTTACGGGTAATCAGAACCTTAGAATAGGAAGAGACATTAAAGATCACAGAGAAAAGTCTCTAAGAGTTGTTGAAAGAAAACAATCGTGACTTCATGAAAGATAAGAAGACAAACATAAAAGAAGCATATCTAACCCCAAACAGGATAGATTCTAAAAGAAAATCATCAAGACAAATCATAATCAAACTTCCTAAAACCAAAGACAAGGAGAGAATCCTGAGAGCAGCTAGGGAAATACAAAAAGTTAACTACAAAGGAGAACCAGTTAGATTAAGCTCTAATTTCTCAGTAGAAACCATGCAGGCAAGAAGACAATGAGATGATATATACAAAACTCTGAATGAAAAAAAACAAATGTCAACCAAGAATCATATGCCCAGCAAAGCTATCCCCTCAAATACGACAGATAAATGTGGCTATTTTCAGATCAGCAGAAATGAAAGGTATTTGCAATAATCAGACCAACTTACAAAAAATACAGTTCTTTATACAGAAACCTGAGATTAACATACATGAAAATACCACCCCAGAACGCAATCCAGTTATTGTTATTGTTGAAGTATTTTAAGTAAAACAAACCTACAAGACTGAAAATAGGGAACCAAAGATATCAACTTATACTGAATTCAACTATAAAGCAAAAGGAATGAATAATATAGGCTTCTGGTTCTGGGCTGTAACCAGAATACTCAGGTAGGAAAAGCTCCGGTGAGAAGGGAGGAGTGGGGGGGTCTCACCAAGGAAACTTTCATATAGCAAACCCCACAGCCTTCAAACTATCATAAGACCCAGTGCTTCAATCTCCCAAAATTGCTTTTTTGCAAAATCACACTACTGAGGAATTACTGGCATCTTAAAATGTTCGCCGGTGGGCCGGGTGGGAACACCTGCGACTGCCCCCACCCCCTGCAGAACTTGGAGGGCGGGGCTGAAGCCAGCCCATTCAGAAAGCAGCGTTTCCAGTAAAGAGGAAACATAAACAAAGCCGCAGGACCAGACATAACCCACCCCCCCCCAAAAAAATCTCCCTGCCCTAGCGTGGGATCTCAGCGCCGATATCAGGCAAGTCAGTTTACCCACAGCACACAGAGAGGGAAAGGTACGGCAGCTTTTTGACGTAATCAGCTGCCGCTGCCATCGCAGAACGTGGAGGGCAGGGCTGGAGCCAGCCAGTTCATAAAGCGGCGTTTCCAGTAAAGAGGAAACATAAACAAACAAAGTGACAGGACCAGACATAACCTCCTTCCCCTCCCCCCAAAAAAATCTCCCTGCCCCAGCGTGGGATCTCAGCGTGGCTATTAGGAAAGTCAGTTTACCCACAGCACAGAGAGAGGGAGAGGTACAACTTTTTGACATCAACAGCCGCCACTTCCGCCACAAATATGAAGCCTTCCTGCCCTACTCACAGATAGCAGCCTAGATCTTCCAGCTAATGCTCTGGTGGGACATGAAACTTCTCTCCCAGGGAACAAAATAAAAACCCCCAGCTAACAATCTAGCAACCTGCCAATGGGCGGTGGCCTGAGTTCACTGGGCAGGCCAAACTCAAGGCAATCTATAAAAAACCAACAAAACAGGTCTCAACCATCCCAAGAACGGTGTTGGACACAGGCAGAAAACTGACAATCACAGACAAAAATAGTGGTCAATCAATCTCCCCTCGACTCTCCGATATATATCTGCCCACCTATATGGCAGTGGCTAGAGGAGAGGCCTGAAAGAGGGGTCACCCACACCCCTGCTGGAGGCTTCTATTTGCACACACACTGCTGGTGTAGCGTGGAAAAGTTGACCAAAGCCTCATCTCTGCTCCAAAGTGGTGATTTCTGTCTATGCATTTATATTACTTCTGCTTTTGGTACTTTTGATCTCACATCTTTCCTGGAGGTGGGAGCTTTTCCTTCCTACCTCACCTAAGAAGTAGTAGCAATCGTGGCCATATAGCCAAGCTGTAAACATACACAAAGATACACCACCACGTAGACAAGACCTAACAACACCTACTACGCATTACAGACAATAAGGGAAGCCTATCTCCTGATCATATTAATAATAATTAAATATAATAAAATAAGAATAATCATGCCCAACAAGAAACAATTAACACCATTGAAACATGTCCAAAAGCAGAAGAGAGCAGCTGATGCAAATGAGCTGGAGACAGACAAAGGCTTTATAGAGGAGGAGGAGTGGGTTCTGGATATGCCTGAGAGGAAATTCAGAAGAATGGTATGGAAACAAATTCAAATACTCCGAAAAGGGGTTGAGGAAAATAAGGAAGAAGTAAGGAAAGTACTGCAGGAACAATCTAATACAACTG